GGGGAAGGATGTGGTTTGCAGGGCGGAAGTGGAGTTTGAAAATGCATACAGGAGCTTGTGTGTCATCACCCTCAGCGTGGAGATGCGAGTGGGGTGTGCATGCAGAGCCGCTGTCTGGCTTTGGGGTCACAACTGGCGCATGAGTGTCAGGACTGGAAGGGACCTGTCTTTAGGGGTCATTTGAGCCAGATGCTCACTTCAAAGGTGATACCTCCAAGCCCAGGATGGGCAGGGGCTCTGGCAGAGCCAGGATCAGCCCTCAGGACACTGGCCTCCCGTGGTCCCCCCCATCCCCTCCACTGCACCACCTCCGCCTGGCTTCCTGGCTGTCCTCGTATATGTGATGTACGGTGTGAGTGCAGGGCTGTGCGGGGGCGGGTGGGGGGCGTTATCTATGTAGCACTGACTGTCTTCGCTCAGAGCTGATGGATCCTCTCCACGGACAATGACACTTTAAACGTTGCTTTTAAAAAGATTTTTCCTGTGTGCGCGTTTTTTCCCTCGGGCTCATGGTCTACTGCTCCCTCCAGGTGCCCTCACCTTGAGGCTGATGAGAGCGCCCCAGCCAGTCCTGGGAAGTACTCCTAGGAAGAGCCGACACGTGAGGGGCCAGCTCTGAGGAAGGGCGATCTTCCCCACACTCTCTTTCCCGAGCTAGAAACGCAGACACATTTTCAGAGGCACAGCCTCTTCCCGCCAGCTTCCAGCATCTTCCTTGGTGTGCGTAGGCCAGTTAGGGCTAGGCAGCTTCCTCCCATCCTCCTTTATCCCAGCTCACTTTCCTGGGGAGACGTGTCCGCTGGGATTTAAGTCACTTCAGTTGGGAAGCTGGGACCCAGCACCCTGACCCCCTACAGTCACACCCACCAGATTACACGTGTCTAGCTCCTGACCACTCTGACGTATCTACTGAGAAGTTGGGTACTGAGGGGCGCCTTCATTGCCCTTTGCTTGCTTCCTCCAGCCCAACGTGGGACTTAGGTGGCAGGACCCCAGACTCCAACCTTTACCTCCCCACCCCCATTCCATCCCAGCCTGCTCAGCGTAGCAGCCCCTCCCTAGGGGAGCGGGAAGGGGACGCCATGGTTTGCAAACCCAGAGCTCCTTTTTCATTCTTTCTAAAACCTTTATATTCTCACCCCAAAAGGCAATGCCCCCTCCCCGCAACACCCGCCACCTCCAAGCCTGGAATTGTGCATAACCTGGATCTTGTATCTTTGTATAACGGATGTTATTTGTACGAAGGGCAGTTCGTAAACAGCACTTGTTCTTTTAATAAAAGAATGTTTTACAAAAAAAAAAACCAACAACCCTCCAAAGAGACGCTGCTTTGTCTGGCTTTACTGAAGGGAAAGGGAGGTGCCGGCCAACTGTGGGAGCATGGGGGGGGGGCATGTCTAGTACAGTCTTCAAGCACTGGAATAACAGTTCACCAGAACGCACACCGAGACTGCACCGTGAGCATTCACATACCTGCGCCCACCCACGAGGATATGATGCGTAGGCCGGGCTGGTGGAATCTTAAAAACAAGCTCCCTAGGTGTGCCCGCCCCGCGCTCCTAGAAGCACTGCCAGACTCGGCAGGAGAAACGGCTCCCGGGAGGGTACGGCCCCCCGCCCGCGGCGGGGTGGGGG